CTTGTGCGACGGTTCAATGCAATACTCCTACTGCTGCAGCTCTTGCTGCAGCTCCTGCTGCTGCTTGCGCCTGCTCCTGCGACTGCTACTCCTAAGACGACGACGACTGCTATTACCCACTGCTACGAGGACGACGACGACGACTACTACTGCTACTACTACTACTACTACTACAAAACTACTACGACGACTACTAGTATATTTATCATTAGCTTGTGTACGATCACCATTGCCCTCGCTAATGTCCAACCTTTAGCAATCCTCACCGTCATGAGTAGCATCCTCACATACGGCAGGTTCAATGCAGAGGCACTTGCGAAGATGTTTCCCGAGAAAAGCCTCAGAAGCTTTGAGGTCATGCTGGGCTTCTGCAACGGTCTGGCTATCGTCATCGGGTTGTCCCAGCTGCATCCCTTCGAGGACCCTGTTCCTTGGACACAAGAGATATCTACGGAGGCTCGAGAGAGCAAGCTTGATTCGTGAGGCGTGCTCCCTGTCTTTGTCTTGCTTATGGTGCCCGGAACCGTCGAAGTAAACCTGCAGATTTCACGCAGGGGTCTCAACTTGCAAGCCGGAGACTGCTCGCCATCAGCAGCCTAGGCCGGTTTTTCAGACGTAGGAAGCGACATTGAAGTTCTCTATTGGGTTTGAACTCAGGTTACGTGATTCCTGGGAGGTGCGCTTGTGATGGTTCAGGTTGTCAACTGTTATAGCTGAGGCTGGCTGCGTACTTAAGCTGCATAGGCCTGTGCCAGCCACCGGTCGGGTTGTTGGACATGTTTGGCACTGCCTTCGCTGAATGATGGTCTTGGTCAGATGCGCATTCTCCCGATGGCACGTAAAAGATGGTGTCCAGAAGGTATTTACACAAAGTTCCTAGGAGGCAAAGCTGGAGCCGGCGAGACGCTATCAAAATTTACAAACTTAGGGCCGACCAAGTGGCTGCTGAATGAACACCGACATCCACGCCTTGTGCATCTGCCTGGTACAGTCCAAAACAAACTCTCCGAAGCAAAACCCAAAAGCCGTCCTTACACCCAAAACCCGCAGCCACCCCTCTAAGTTGTGAGCCTGATGCCGCAAGTGGCACTCCTCAACCTTCCCAGGTGACACACCACTGGAAAGAAGGGATGGAGATGATCTGGATGCTGGTGCCTTGCTAAGAGCCCGTGAGGGCGTACGGTTGGTACTCGTAACGGCCTTCCCGACCTGGTCGGAGGACGTTTCAACCATGCTAGGCAGGTAGCACGCACTCTAGATTGGATCCTACATTGCTGTTCGCAAACCAACTAACGGATCCTGCTAAACCCCACTTGCCCGCAGAGACAACTCATGACGCCGGAAAACGTCGGGTGTTTCTATAAAATGGTGTTGCGCAGCCAAGGTTATCTGCTTCTCGAGCATGATCGTCATGGAGTTCTTGCCCAAGCCCCTCGGCCTTTGCTCTTCTTTTGATGAGCCCGCCACTCGTTTGGCCGTTTCCTTTTTGCGAAGCTTCTGTGGTCACCATGACGAGGATCCCGCTGAAGATCTTCAAAGTGGTGCCTTCCTCGCTCTTGGCCATCATCTCGGCTATCGTGATCGAGCCGCCCGCCTGTGCCGAACAGTCTTTGGGTTCTAGATTCTACCTATAGTCTCCATTGTAGTTCTTTTTTGGGGATACCGGGATACCTTATAAATTCCTTAATATATAATTGGTTAAGCCAAAAAAAAAGGAACTACAATGGAGACTATAGGTAGGGCCTCTAGGGTCTAGGTTCTCAGGTCCTGGGGCTGGGGCTTGGGGTTTCAGGCTTGAGGGGCTTGATGGTTAAAGCGTTAAGGCACTCTCTCTCTCTCTCTATATATATATATATAAATATAAACAAAAACATAAATAAATAAACAAATAAACGAATTTGTGTCTCTCTCTCTCTCTATATATATATATGTTTCTATCAACTAGGGATGCTTGACAGTACGGCTTCTGGAGTCGCTCCTTTGATCCCGAAACTTACGTTCCGAACACCCAACCTGCAGAAGAAATGCCCAGCCCAAGAATCCTTTGTGCCGGCCCCAGGCCGTCACGCAAAAACCTGAATCCTTCATCCCTAAACCCTAAACCCTTAATGGAAGCCGATTCTTCCAGTACCGCAGCCATACTGTGGAGAAGTTGTTCCCTGCCGGGCATTCCAGGCCAAGCAATTCAATCGAAGCACCCTAAACCCTAAACCCTAAACCCAGAGGGAGGCAAAAACAACTCCAAACCTTTAGCCTGAGCACCCCGTAAACCCTGAGCCACGGGAGCTGAACCAGGTTCGCGATCGTGCGAAGCTCTGGCTCGCGAACCGATCCTGGGCTCAATCTACCTCTGGGGATTCGGGGGGTTTTCGAGCTATGGTTTTCCTCCCGCCCTCCTCACTCTCTCTCTCTCTCTCTCTTTCTCTCGCCCTGTGTATGGATGGCCAGTTCGGTCAGTTGGCGAGTGACAGCGATTCCCCATCAGTCGGGCCCTGAACCCTCGACGCTAAAGCGAGCCCAAACCGCCTTTTGTCGCCTCAGTCCTGGCCTGGTACTCCCGGGTTTAGGGTTTAGGGTTTAGAGTTTAGGGTCCCGAGTTGCGAGGGACAAAACAACTTGTCGAGTAGTACTCGACAAGAATCAGTACCCGAAATGAGTCGGCAAATCTTCAACGGTTGGAATCGGGGATGGGCCAAACACCTTTGGAGTTTCAACGAAAACGACAATTTTGGGGCATCTAAACAGTTTAAACTGAGAGGTCGAGGCTCGGCATGCTTGAACATGTTTAAACATTTCGTGTTCGCACGTTTGGACATTTGTAAACATTTCGCGGGTGCGCGTGTTTCAACAGTTGTCTGTGTGGCTGACGACAGTAGTTCTTTGTTCCAGCAGGCTCCTAACAAAGTAGCTCCTGACACCTGATGAAGGGCAGCGATGGTGCTACTGTCTCAAGCAGTGCGGACGTTGGTGAAGTAGACCTTGAAGCTCAAGGGCACTCCACTTTGGAGCACCCCTCCACCACGAGAGTATTCAGGCGGTTTCAACGGTGTAAGCGTGTAAACCGTTTAAACGTATGAGACCTCCTGCTTCTGATGCCTTCAGAAGTGCCGCTCCGACGGTTAAACCCTTTAAACGCCTCAAACGTCCTGCTTCTCATACATTCAGAAGTGCCGCTCCACCGGTTAAACCTGTTTAAAGGTTTAAGCCGTTTAAACGCTCCAAACGTCCTGCGTCTCAAGAGTGCTGCTCCAACGTGTAAACCCTTTGAAACGCTTACACCGTTTAAACTCCCCAACCGTCCTGTTTCTCATACCTTCCAGAAGTTCTGCTCCAACGCTTAAACCATTCTTGCACGCCTCAAACGTCCTGCTTCTCATACCTTCAGAGGCTGCTCTGACGCTTAAACCGTTTAAAGGCCCCGGATTCTCATACCTTCAGAAGTGCCGCTCCAACATTTAAACCGTTTAAAGGCCCCAAACGTCCTGCTTCTCATACCTTCAGAAGTGCTGCTCCAATGATTGAACAGTTTAAACTGTTTGAATGCCGCAAGCATCCTGCTTCTCATACCTTCAGAAGTGCTTCAATGTTTAAACCGTTTTGAACGTTTAAACCGTTTAAATGCCCCAAGCGTCCTGTTTCTCATACCTCCAGCGGTGCTGCTCCATCGTTTACACCGTTTGAAGGTTTAAACCGCTTAAACTGCGTCAGCGCTTTGGGGTCTAAGACTTAGATCCTTCGGAGTTTCAGTGTTTCAATCGCTTCAGGTTCACAGGCTTCGGGGTGGCTTTTGCTTTAGGTCAAGTGAGTGTATGGTACAGTATGTTTAAACATGTGTGCGCGTGTTTAAACTTTCAAACGGCTTGGCATGTAAACAGCGTTTGAACCGTTTCAGCTGTTGGGCCCGTTTGTTTAAACATTCCGGCGTTTAAACAGAAAGGTTTTAAACAGTTTAACCATGACCTCCTGCCCAAACCTCGTTGAAGTAAAGCCATCAGCCTCTCAACGCAGGCCACCATTCGCGACGTCAGCGAGTTCACCCTTGACACTGTGCAGTCCCCAGTTGTGATTGCGGGAAGGGTGCTTTTTGGTTTGAGGGTGGCTTGGAGTTGAGGCCTCAGGGGTTCGACCGGGATGTAGGTTGTTTAGGGTTGGGGATTTCTGGTTCAGGCCTTCATGGGGCATTGCGTGATTGTAGGGTTCACAGGCATTCCGCTGGTTTCTGAGATCTGCATCTCGGAACCCTTTTTTCTGACTCGATATTCTGAGGTTCATCACAAGCCGAGAGCCTGCGCACGCCAAGACTTGAACCCCCACTCCTGAAGCCTCAAACTTCCCACCAGTCGCATGTCCAGCCGTCCAAAGGCCTTCCCGATTCCATTCTTCATCAGCACGGTGGCTTGGCTTCACAGTAGTAAGAAGTTTAGAAACATTGGAGGTTAGTTCATTCGCATGGTTCCGGGCTTGGGGGTGCATCTCCCAGTTTCAGAGGAGCCACTGTGGCATGCGAGAAGATGGAACTACTGCAAATGCCACGGGCCCATAACCGGTGGTGTTTCGCACTTGATGTTCATTCTTAGCAAAACCCTTACATCCGGCTGGTTGGCTTTTTGCCTTCCGCCTAGACCACGGAGGCTAGCATAGACGGAAAAAGGTGTTCAACAAAGGCCCTTAAATCGTTGAAAACGATCCGTGCGCACGCGTGCGAGTCTCAGCCTTCGGGTTGAATGGCCCCGGCCTTGATCCTTGCGACAATGAGGATCCGGATTTTTCAAGGGAGGTGGTCTCGGCTTCCTTTCTGCTCAAAGGATGCTGTGAGCTACGACCTGACTCCAATCTTGACGGGGGACGGGATCAGCAAGATCGTCATCCAGGCCAGCTGGCTGCGACGGAGACTCGCCGATCCTCTGGGATTCTTGTGCAGCTATGCAAGACATGTTGCGCCTTCGTAGTTGGGGAGGGAAGACAAGCTGTTGAGTTGGAATTTCCCGCAAACGGACCTCATATGGCATTAATGCATGACCCCCCCTCCCCAGCAGTCTGAACGTCCTAGGCCCTAGGGCCCTAGCGACACCTCTGACGCTACATTCATACTACATTCAGCCTCTTTCCCCAGAGACAACAAAACCGGGGTGACTAAACCCTAAACCCTAAACCCTAGACCCTAGACCCTAAACCCTAAAGCCTAAACCCTAAACCGCTTCCGTTTCGCTAGGGCATCTTCCTGTGCCTCGTGGGCTCCATCGAGTCGCTCATGACGGCCGAGGTCCCTGGGAAGTGCTTACAGGATCCGGGGGCACTTTCTAAGTAGGGTAAGTAGTAAGGGGGTGTAGGGTTTAGGGAGGGTGAAGTATTTTAATTTTGTTTTAATCAAGGCCCTCCCTATGCATTCTACC